CCCTTCTTCCAGGGGACTGAGCTGCCAGGGGTAGCTGCCAGCAGTGGTGATTTAACTCCACCCCCAGGGATTTCCCAGATGCCAAGAAGTTGGGGGGCAGGTGGGCACTGCAGGGACTCCTTAATCAGAGGGCCCCTCCCTTCATCCCCAGCCTCAAAGTCTGGGGTACCCTGCAGCAGCCTGGAGACCAGCCTCCTGGCCCTGTGCCCGAGGCCTCAGCCACATTAGCCACTCCCTTGGCAGGCCTTTGCCAACTGACTGTTCCAGCCCCTCCTTCCCTTGGCCCAGCCTCAGAGAAAGCTCGAGAGTGTTCAGGCAGCTACCGGAGCTCCCAGGAGAGGCCTGACAGCTGATGAATTGCTAATCGCTGGGCCTGCTGGGAACTAAAAATGTGGGCAGCCGTAATTAGACAGCAAGGGGGTGGGGGGCACTGGGTCTCTCTGGAAGCATCTAGATACTTCTCCTGCAGGAGTTCATTTCCACAAACCCAGCTCCTAACTAAGCCTTTGGCTTCCTGCTGGCCCGGGGGTCGCCTCATCTCCATCATCACTGAAGTGGGGGGGGGGCACCAAGGAGGGGCCAGGTGGGAGGGCTGGGGTTCCATCCTCTTCTCCTCTCTGCCCTGCTGTCCAGCAGCAAGAATCTGTCAGGCTTGGGAGTCTGGGGACGTCCATGTCTCTGACTATGACCTTGGCCAGGAGCCGGTCTCTATGACTCATTTGCTTCATCTGTACGGTGAGACCATTGGACTGGATGTTCTCGAAGACTCCTTCCAGCGCTGGTGAATCAACAGATTCTCCTCCACTCTCTCTCTCTCTCCCCCCCAATCCCGTCCTGCAGCCCCTCCCCCCAGGGATGTGCACATGGTGAGAGGAGACAGGGGGCCAGAGGATGCTGAGATGTGGTCTCCCCAGTGGGCGTGGCTGTTGGAGGTGGGCGCCCCGGTGGCAGGAGCACCCTCATGGGCTGGGTGTCCTGAGAATCCTGTTCCAGGTGGAGAGGAGCTTGGCAAGGGAAGGGCAGGTGCCTGGTGATGAAGCTGGTTTGCTGAACATGCCCTCGGCTAAAGAGAGGCCGGGCAGGAGGCCAGGTGGCTTCCAAGAGCGTTTCAGAGAGGCAGGGGAGGGGGGGTAGTCAGCTGGAACCCCCAAATTGGGCATGTACACTTGTGACCTGCTACCCTTGGCCTGGGTCTGTAGGAGACGGATTAAGAAAAGGGGGAGGATTTGCCAGGAGATGGGAAAGCCTCGTCCAGCCTCCTGGCTGCTGTGTGCGTTGGGAGGGAGTGGATGGAGGGGTCCCTGAGGCCCCGCATGCAGAGGAGAGGACTACTATGCCCCAAACGCCACATCTTCCAAAGGTTCCCCCACCCCTGCCCCCATCTCCCCTCCTTGCTACCCGCTATGGAATTCAAGTTCCCTGTTTTCCTGCCTGCCTTCCAGTGTTTTTCCCTTTTCCCAAGGTCAGAGCAGAAGAGTGTCAGCTGAACCCTCTGTCTGGGGGAGGGACGGGCAGGGGGTGGGGGCGGCTGGTACCCTCCCTGTCCTTTTCAGGGGAACAGGTGCCAAGTACCCAGCGAAGTGCTGAGGAGAGCTTCGGGCTTTCAGGCTGACACAGACCCTCCCCCAGGGATCTCTCCTCTCAGTCCTGGCCAGTTTTGTTTCCCTTCTGGCGGGGGACCAACCCGCAGTTTTTTCCCTTCTCTCTGTCGCCCTCTAGGGTCTTCCTGCCGCCACCTCGCCCTTCGTCTCCACCCTGCCCTACAATGGCCGGAAGCCCTCATTTCTCAGTTCCCTCGTTCACCCCTTTACTCATTCAACAAACATCTCAAGGGTGCCTGTTTGCGGGATGCAGAAATAAGAAGGCACGGCCTGGGTTCCAGAGGCTCACAGATTTAGGGTGAGCAAGACATGCCAACAAATAACTGCATCAACAGTTTGATGCCCTGGGACTTCCTTGGTGGCTCAGTGCTGAAGAATCTGCCTCCCGAGGTGGGGGGGGACTCGGGTTCAATTCTTGGTCGGGAAATTAAGATCCCATGTGCCTTGGGGCAACTAAGCCTGCAAGCTGAAACTACTCCACACAAGACGGTCTCCGGGCTCTGCAACAAGAGAAACCCCCAAGGTGCAATGAGAAGCCTTAGCACTGGGGCTGGTGGACTGCAGGTGGGGAAAGAGCAGAAATGAGCCGGTCACGTTGCACAGTCCAAGGTCAATGGGCAATACCCCCAGCACTGAGCGGGACATCCCTTGAGTGATGAGGCTGCACTGAGTTTCAGCAACCCCTGTCGGATCCACAGGTGTTTCTGGATCAGATCACCCTCCATCCAAAGGTCCCGGTCGCTCATCCCATTTTATAGATGAGGAAAATGTGCAGGGTAGAGATGGGGGTTCTAGCCAAGATGCAAGCTGGAAGCTGACTTTGAGCCTGGGGGCTGGAGCACAGGGGCCACCAGCAGAGGACTGACCTCATAAGGCCGAGAGGGCCCGTGGTCCCCCCAGCTAGTGGCTGATGCAGCTGGATGGAGCTGCAACCCCGTCTGCCCAGACCCCGTGTTCCCCCTGGGTGTCACCTCCCCTCGTGGTCAGCAGAATAGAGGCTCCCAAAGAAGTCCTATTGGAGAAGGAAATGGCAGTATTCTTGCCTGGAAAATTCCATGGACAGAGGAGCCTCGTGGACTATAGTCCTTGGGGTGGCAAAGAGTCGGCCATAACTGAGCGATTAAACAACAGTACCATAGCAAAGACCCAGTGCTGCCAAAGAAAACCCCAAACTGTTTGATGCCCTACAGGCAGGAACAGACCCAGGGCTGGAGAAAACCAGGGAGGGTGGCCACTGCAGCTGGCAATCAGAAAGTCTCCTTGGAGGAGGAGGCAGCTGAGCTGGGCCTAAACCAGGAGCTCCCAGGGAACCAGAGGACAGGGCACATGGGGAGCCAAGGGACCCTCCAGGGAGGAGGGTCCGCTGGAGTCAAGGAAAGGGATGGGAGTGGAGGTTGGAGGGTGGTGGGAGGAGAGGATGGCAGTTTCAGGCGGGGCCATTTGGAAGGCCTTCCAAGCCCTATGCCTGGTGGATGTGATCCTGGGATCCTCAGGGTGGGGAGTTCTGCTTCATTAATTCCAGTACTGGGTCCTCAGAGCACATAGTAGGTATTCAATAAGCCTGTTGGGAGGAGGGGGGGGAAGGGTCAGATTGGCATTTTAGATATGGTGGGAGGGGTAGGCCAGCTAGTGAGGACGTGGGCATGGGAGGAGGGGTCGTGGGGAGAGGCCAGGCGCCGGGGGCAGGGTAGAAAAGGGAGTGGTTCTGCCTGGTCACAGCCTGACTGTGGGGTGTGGATGAGGAAGGCTGGGCAGGAAGGGAAGGGAAGGGAAGGGGGAAGGCGGAGGGGCAGGGACAGCTTTGGGCTGGGTGTGAGACAGGCTGAACTTGCATGCCCACCTTCGGGTTGTTTCATGCCCAGCCCTGAATCCCTCCAAAAAAGTGGCAACTCTAGAGTAGACCCAGTCTGCTCTCCCTGTAGCCCCAACCCTTGCCTGAAGCCCAGGTCTTGCTGAACCCGTGTAAAGGGTTAAAGAGATCACCAGGGCTTCTTTGAACAGCTTCCTCAGATCAGAAACAAGCCAGTGGCCAGAGGCCTCCTCAGGTGCCCCTTCCAGCCTGAGGGAAAAGAAACTAGAGAGGGGTCATGTGTGGACACTGCCGTAGGCTTCAGGGCACGGCACCCCGCTCCCCGATTCTGCAGCCCAGCCCAGACCCGGGACATCTCCTGTATCGGGGCTCACGCAGCCCAGAGCCGCAGTCACGTCCACTGCCCTCTCAGGAGAGGTGGGCAGGGCTTCTTGACCTGTGGGGCCATAAAGGACTGCAGAGTGTCTGTGAGATACCAAGCTGCCTGCAGATGGGGGCGTGACGGCCTCCTTTCAGATTCCCAGAGAGCAGCTGATTCAAAGCAAGGTTAGAATCTGTTACTCTTAGAGGAGAAGGAAGATGAGCACAATGTGTGTATTTGTTTAGATCTACATAAAAGAATCTGTCTGCAATGCGGGAGACCTGGGTTCAATCCCTGGGGTGGGAAGATCCCCTGGAGAAGGGAATGGCAACCCACTCCAGTATTCTCGCCTGGAGAATCCCATGGACAGAGGAGCTTGGTGGGCTACAGTCCAGAGGGTCGCAAAGAGTCAGATATGACTGAGTGACTAACACACACAAGTAAAAGAAAGAAATACAATGTAAGTAGCTAATAAAAACAACGGCAAAAAGCCACACCAAGCTCTCCCATCAGAGCTCCCATCTTTCAATCCCCATCCTAGTCCCCAGCCAGGGCTGGACACACAGTGTTTTCTGTAAGTGGCCCCCCATGGGTGACTTGCTGTAGGGCAGGCAGGCCCTGTGCCGAGCACTTTCAGGACAATATTCCCCCTTTCAGCTTCCTCCCAGCCCCACGTGGAGCCCGGATTCACAGCCAGTGTTGTTCTGAGCCGTGTTCCAGCTGTTCTGAACACCCCACCTGTAAGGAAGGTCCTGCATGTGGACTTCGCGTCCCCATTCTCTGCTGAAGTGAGGCCGGGTGTGGGGGGGTCAGGGAAAGAGGGGTGTTCAAAGCCCACAGGGCGGGTCTTGCCTGGTGGTAAAGTGGCTGACACTCCGTGCTCCCGATGCTGGGGGCCTAGGTTCCATCCCTGGTCAGGGAACTTAGATCCCACATGCCGCAACTAAGACCCGGAGCAGCCAAATAAATAAAAATAAATATTAAAAAAACAAAAAAAAAGCCCACAGGGCCTCCAGGCTGGGAGGAGGAAGGCCTTTTTGGGGCCCCCGTTTTTCTCCCCACCGATCTGCAGACTCATGCATGGAGGCATGAGGTGGAGGTGCTGCACCCTGGTTCCCCGGTGCCCGCTCTTCTCCTGGGCATTTCTCATTTCTCGGAGGGAAGGACCCCAGGACCCCCCTCTCTCCCTCCCTGCACGCCCCAGGTACTCAAATCCACAGAGGCCTGGTCTCACCACCTGCCGTCCGGGCACCGAGTGTTTATTATTTAGAGTCCAATTTCTGTCCGCACCGCGGAGAAGGAAGCGGAAATTGGGGGTGGGGGGAGGAAACCCGGATCAGACCCCAGACCCCTCCCCCCACTGGAGCCCAGGGCGTCTGCCCTGTTGGGCCAAGGAAGACTTTGTGAGATCCCTGAGGGCCCCGGGAGGAGCGGGCTGGGAGCAGCAGGAGAGGGCTGGGGGCTCACCGTTTCCCCATCCGTCCGTCTGCCCGTGCCCCAGGCCACCACCCTCAGTCTAGAGTCTACCCTTCCTTCGAAGGGCTGTAGCACCCCTCTCTGGGAGAGGAGGAACGAGTGCTCCCCCTGGCTCCCTGCTCGCGTGGGCACACCCTGGAGTGCACGTCATCCTATGCCTGCGCCACCTGGCCCAGGTCCCAGCCACGGGGCACGCCGGGGCTCCGGAGCCCGCTTGGTCCTCCCACTGCACTGCTTTCCCCCCCACAGGCTCCTCCTCCATCCCCCCCTTCTCTCTTCCACCTCCTGACCCAGACCCCGTTTGATCTCAGCGTCAGAGGCAGCTGGGGTCTGTAGGGCCCACCTCGGATCACGCAGATGGCCTGGCTGGCAAAGCCCTGGCCCAGAAGAGCACGGGGCAACGGCTGGAGGGGAGAGCCTGGCCTGGAGAGGTGGGGCCAAGGGTGAGCTCCCTGGGCCCACAGGCTGAGGCTCAGGGGCCCCACCCAGTCTGGGCACTCTTGGGCCAGGGAAGGGGTTTGCGGAGGCCGTGGGGCCAGCCTCCAGCCTGCAGCCAGGGTCCTCCTGCAGCCAGCTCAGAAGGAAGGGGTTCCCCAGCCTGGAGGGTGGTGCACCAAGGGTTAGGCCGTCCCTCCTTTTGTCTAACTTAGCTCCAGCCTGCTGTCCCACTCCGTGTCGGCCCAGCGCTGGAGAGGAACTGAGGGCCCTATGGAGTGGCAGGGGAGGCTCCCAGGTCTGGCACTTTTAAGAGGGTGTCCCTGGCTCCACTGGACTGAGGTCCTCAGCCTGGTGAGCTGGCATCAAGCAGGAAAGGGTGATGATCCCTGTGTTCAAAACGGCTCTTTGTTCCCTGGACTGGGTGGGTGAACAGGAGGTGGGGTGGGGACCCTCTAGAAGCAGCAGAATCCAGCTCCTCTTTGTCTTCAGGGCACCCACCACCCTCAAGGTCTTCCCCTGTCCCGGGACCTCTTTGTCGCAGTGGGGTGCAGGCCCCACCGCCTCCCACGGCTCCTGGGGCCAGAGCCCTGGCCTTGCCCTGTGCCAGGGGGCATGAAGCTGGGTTCGCTGGGCTCAGAAGCCCCCACTCTCTGAGCTGCTCCGGCTGTGGTAGCTGGGAGTGGGGGTCTGGGAGGGACTTCGCGTGCGGCTGCGGGTCCGACTGCGGCTGCTGTAGCTTCCGTGGCTGTGGCCGGGGCTGGGGCTGTGACTGGGGCTCCGGCTTGAGTAGTCGCTGCTCAGGCAGCTGGAGGAGGACGAGGGGCTGGGTCGGTAGTAGGGGATGGGACGCTTCCGGGCACTGCCGGGAGGGAAAAGCCAATTACAGGCCATTCGGGGCCCTGAGCTCTGCCAGTCCCGGGCCCTCACTCCGGCCCTGAGCCCATCCCCAGCAGTGGCCAGGACTTCCCTGCCTCAGTTTCCCCTGACCTCGGCCTTGGAATTCTCCCCGCCTCCACCCCTGCCCCCACAGGATTAGACAGGCAGTGGTTCCTAGCCAAGTTCACGTTGATCGCTTTGTTTTTCCTGCAGGGAAAGGGGACCAAGTCTCTGCTTGATCGAAGCAGGTGCTCGATAAATATTTGTTGAATAAACGAAACTTTTAAATACAGTCAACTCATATCAGCCAAGCTAAGCAGCAGCTTCTGTGCCTGGGAGGGTTTGTGAATACGGCTCAGTCCTGCATCTTTGTTCCCCAAAGAATTGAGGATTTTGGTTTTCAGGTCACTCAGAGGGAACAGGAGGCCGCTGGCCACTGCTGCTCAGGCCCAAGGCCCTGACCGAAGCCCACCAGCCCCCCACACCTTACTCCGCTACCTCCCCCTGGCCCGGAGTTAGTCTGAAGCCAGGAGACTGTGACCCAGAGGAAAGAAAATAGAGTTAAGGAGGCAACAGTGCCCCACTGCATGGGGTTAATTCTGAGAAAGAAAACAGGTATAAGTTAGTTGGCAGGGGAGGAGGAGGCAGCCTGGGAGCGGGCAAAAGAGGGTGCCAGGTGGAAGGCTCGGAGGTCTAGCTGTCTTAGGGCACCCTGCTTATGTGGGTATCTAGTGGAAGGGATAGCAGAAGCATGGCGGGCTGGCCTCTAGCTCTGACAGGAGAACTGAAGCCCAGAGAGGCAGGCTTATCTCCTAAAGCAGCCCAGCAAGGCTGGAGCAGAGCCGGCCTCAGCATTTTGCCTGTGGCCCTTTACCCCGTGTCAGGGACCTGGGGCTGCACAGAGATTTCCACAAATGCAGACCATCCTCTCACCTGGAGACCCAGGCCCAGAGACCCCAGTCCTGATAGACTGTGTCTATCAGGGGGAGGGACTGGCTCCTCTCCCAACTGCCCCGGAGACCAGACTGCTGTTGCCCCCTCCTCCAAATTTCCCCCCAGGGTTGGGGGGCAGGGCGGGGGGGCTGGGAAATGAGCAGAAAGAGTTAGTGAGAAAAGGAGAGGCAGGCGGACAGCTGAACAGAGCCAGTCAGCTCACATGGGTATCTCCCCTGCGGCCTGTGGAGACGGGGTCCACCCGGCCCCCAGGCTGGCCACAGGCCACTCAGCAGGCTGGACCTTGAGATGAAGGAGAAAAGGAGAGAGACATCATTGCCAGGAGGTGAATGAGGGGCGGGAAGGAGGAGGGAGGGAGGGGCTCCAACAGGGATGGCTGGAATCTTCCAGAGCCGAACTCCTTGCCTGCTGCTATCCCCAGACCGAGTACCGTCCCCCGCCCCTCCTCCTGAGCCTGGCCCTGTCTTCGGGTCCCACACGCCCCCTCCATTTCCCTTCCCCAACCCCCACCTCCTCTCCTCCGGCGCCCCGCCCCTGCACCAGGTTCAGTGGGTGAGGGACCCCCGCGGTCCCCCGCGGCCCGGCCCCTGCCTACCTGGTGATGCGCCGCGGCTCCATGAAGCTGGGCGAGTCCCGGCGCCGCTTGCGGATGGGCGAGTAGCTGCGGGAGCGGCGCCGGGCGCGGGCGGCCTCGGCCTCGGCGTGCCTCGCGCGGCTCTCCGCGTCCTTGTCCCTGCGGGGACCGGCCCGGGGTGAGCGACGCGGCCCACGCCCCCGGCCGGTCCCGCCGCCGCCGCCACCCCTGGGCCCGCACTTACCGACCCAGGGTTTTCTTGGGCGACGGCGAGCGGCTGGGGCTGCGGGCCCTCTTCTCTGCCGAGCGCGAGCGGGATTTGGAGGCCGAGCGGCTGGAGCTCCAGGAGCGCGGGTGCGGGCCCGGGCTGCGCGACGAGCTCCTCCCCTCGGGCCCGCCGTGCCTGTCCGGGGACGGCGAGGAGCTGGCGGGCCGGGCGCGCGGGGCCCGCTCCTTGGCCCTGGAGGAGGGGGCACGGCGACAGGAGGGGGGACGCTCAGCTGGCAGAGAGTGGGCGCCGAGCAGGGGGGGGGGGGGGGGGGACAGAAAAGGGAGTGAGGGGGCCCCCTCGAGGGGAAAGGTCTTGGGAGGGGAAGGGGTTCTATGGGGTTGGCGATGGGACGGTGGCGGTGTTGGGAGAGAGGCAGGCAGTGGGTTCCAGGAGGAGGGAGGGGGGCTCTGCTGGGGGAGAGGAAATCAGTGAGGAAGAGGCCTTTTCCGTGCCGTCGAGGGAGAGTGATCTTGGGGTTGGAGGGGCAAGTAAGAAAGGAGGGTTTGCTAGCGTGGGAACAGGGCCTGGATCTCAGCGGGGAGATGGGGGAGAGGTCTGCTTGAGGGAGAGGGGAGGGATGGGGCGCTCAGTGCGTGGGGAGGGAGGACCACCAGGGAGAGGAGATGGCTCCGTGGGGGGGAGTGTTCCCTCGGGGAGGGCAGTGCTCCGTTGGAGGAGGGTGATCCGCGGGGTGGGAGGAACTCGGTGCGTGGAGAATGACGGGGCCGAGGGCCTGGTGGGGAGAAGGGGCTAGCGGGTGGGTGGGGGGAGTGTTCAGTGCGGGGAGGGGAGAGGGCTTCGTGGGGGTAGAGTGTTCCGTCGGGGAGGGCGGCGCTCCCTCGGAGGAGGCCACGTGAGGGGTAGGGGCCCGGTGGGGAGTGGAGGCTGGGGGAGCAGGGCTCAGGCTCAGTGCGGGGAGGGGAGCCCCGGGCGGGTCCCAGGGGCCGAGCCTGCTCACCGTTTCCCGTGCCCGCCGTGGCCTCGCTCGGAGCCGGGCTCGGGCCCGGGGTCGGGGGCGCCGCCGCCCGAGTCGCTGCTGGAGCGGGCCCTGCTGAGCGAGCGCGACGAACCCCGGAGCGGCGCGGGCCGGGCGCGCCGGCGGCCCCTGCGGCGGGGCG